CGCTGAATGTCCGGACGGGTTTACAAGGCATGGTACATCCTGTTACACCGTACCTCACGTGAAGGCAGACTGGAGCCAGGCCACAGTAAACATTTTATACTAGTTTATTCACACTTACCCTGAAATTAATAATAAAGCAAATATGATGTATGTATCACTGTATGAATGCAAAACAATAAGAAAACGCGTATATATTTATTGTAGAAATAATGCTAAATAACAATATGCTTGCATACTGACAACCACTGAGCGATGATAAAAAACATATGTACATATAAATTTAACTTTATCAATTCAGTAAAACACCAACATGCTTTCAAAATTCAGTTTAATGGCTTTTGATATAATAAAGAAATTTCATATCAAAACATTGGATAAATGTTCGTAAGAACTCGATGAAAATATTCATGACATACGTTTTGCATAAAAATAGTACATACGAAGTTACTACTGGTGGTGTTGTATAACTGTAGGTAGTCTGTAAAGAACTCGGTGCGCACCTGGTAGAGTTTGAGGACGCGACCGAGGAGAGATTCGTTCACGGTTTCCTTTCTTTGCACTGGCGTGAGTAGATACGGTGTTAGCCGGTTACGAACTGTAAGAAATGTAAAACAATGTAACGTGGCAGAGAAAGCTTGATTGATAAATCAATGTTCGTGTCTCTTAATCTTGTTGTAATAATCTGTACTCTCTTCATAATCTTTTTTTGCAAACATTTTTTATCAGAATTGTACGTTTTGAAGTATAGCGTTTTCCTTATACTCAAACTAAAAAACCAATGTGTTTTCTGTGAGGTATTGTTTGCTTGAAGTTATCAGAAATTTACTTTAGCGTTTCAATAACTAGTGTCTCATTTTACATGTTAACAGATTGATTTCAACCTACGTGGATTTCATATATGACTATGACTAAACATTGGTAACATACTACTGCACTTAACATTTGTTACAGGAGCTTACAGCCCGCCCGAGTTCTGGATTGCCGGTAATGATATTTTAGAGGAGGGCCATTGGCAGTGGGCTTCCGGAAAACCAGTGACTTTTGCGAACTGGGACGACGATCAGCCTGACAATGGAGGAGACCATGATAACAACGAGCATTGCATGGAAGTAAAACAAAAAGATCAATGGAAATGGAACGACCAGGAATGCCAGGAATATCGTTTCTTCATATGTGAGATGCCGTAAGTAAACTATGAGAGAGAGAAGTGATTCCGCATGGTAAGGAAAAGATCGAGAGAGGGGAGAGTCCATAAGTAAAGTATGATAGCAGGGGGAGGAGTCCGTTAGAATGCTAAAGTAGAGATCGAGAGAGGGGAGGCTCCATTTGTGATGTAGAGGATGAGTCCGTTAAAATGGCCAAGAAGAGATCGATAGAGGGGAGATTCCATTAGTAAAGAAGGGTAGGAGTCCGTTAAAATGGTCAAGAAGAGATCGAGAGAGGGGAGATTCCATTAGTAAAGTAGGGGGGGTTCCGTAAGAATGGTATCGAAGAGATCGAGAGAGGGGATATTCCATTAGTGAAGTAGACGATGAGTCCGTTAAAATGGTCAAGAAGAGATCGAGAGGGGAGATTCTATTAGTAAAGGAGGTGGAGGAGTCCGTAAAAATGGTCAAGAAGAGATCGAGAGAGGGGATATTCCATTAGTGAAGTAGGGGATGAGACCGTTATACCACATTTATTTCAAACATCTTTCGAATTATATTTCAAAAGTAATAAAGGTTAAGATTGCATTATGTAATAACCTCTTGTATCTGCGTTTGTTTAAATAAACCCCACTGTTTTGTTAGATATATAGATAAAGAGACAGTCATTATAAGTGATCTACCACTCCGTCTCTCCACCATTTATATATAGTATGATATACATTTATAACATTTCTACAATCACTTAGTGTTAATTGGTTGGAATACTTTTGTAACTGAAAATGGATATATGTGGACTTTAAATGGGCCATACGTATCTATTAAGATAGTACGTGCTTAGGGAAAGCTCGAGAAATTGTCAAATACCTACTTTAATCTCAGTTATACTACCTAGCAGAGCTGGGATTCGATGAAAGCCACAATTGTTTCAATTTTAACGTCAACATTTCATGGCATCACAGACTTCCATTCACATTGTGACCTCACAAAAAAGAAAGGTTTGCAGTCAAAATATCGAAGTAAGGGGTATTTTACATATCAAGCTAGCATGGAAAATGCCGTGTGCACAATTAATTGCAACAAGTCCTGGATATTTGATGAATAGAATATTATAGTCGTTTCCATTTCGCTAGATGCTCGCTGACATTTTATAAATAACTTTAATCCTGTTTGTATCATATGTCTATAACTGAATGTTGGATCGATAAATCATATCATAAGGATCTCTGATCCTTCATTGATATTGGCTTGATTTTATAAAATGCAGATAACATTGTTTATATCTTGATTCATTATCAAAACTGAAAATATTGTTTGTCTGTACACAGGATTACTGACAACATTGGAGGATCACAGCCAGGAATAATAGGCTAATCGACGACGCGTCATCTACTTGTCTCCGCACACATTGTTGTCAATAAACATATACTTAAATTGTATTTTAATGATCTAGTCTCCTGAGGTTTAAAAAAATATTATTTCCTGCAAGCTATGCAATACTCAAATTTCACTTTTTGGTTCAATATAGATTTATTACAAAAACTATTCTTGTATCACCTTTTTGAAATGGCAAGTTTAAATTTGCTGTGAAAGATTCAGATGTTCAATAAACAAAAAATATAAAACAAAATATAAACTTGAATACTGGTATTTAATTACTGATTTAGCCTAATTGAATTTACCTTCGAGACACAATACCTTAATATAAAGAAGCACCCTATCCCGAAATGGTAGTTTGGTTTCAGAAAAAGACACGCACATTTTCCTTTAGACCTAAAGAATACGTTTTATGTCAATCCTCAAATCGTAAAAAAAAATATGAAAAACGAGGAATTATTGAACTTGACATGAGGGATAGGATTTAACTTCATTGCTTTTATGAGAATGAAGTATAATTTATACAAATCGCACTTCCATAATGTATAAGAAAACAATATGCTTTTCCTTCATTGTGCACACATTCATAGATTTTTGATAACTCCATCGGAAGATTGTTTTGGATTTGTTTCGGAAACAGTCAATACAATACGTTTTCTGTCAAGTTCGTAGCTTATCCATGACACAGCCAAATAAATAGATATAAACAGAACAAGAACATACCAATTTCTTCGTATTTCTATGTGATTTTTTCTTCAAAAAATGATACATACATAAACACTGTACCACAAAGCTTATTGGTTCGTCCATCTATGACGTCATCGGTGGCGCTAGATGAGTACTCGTTCATCTATGACGTCATCGGGGGTGCTAGAGGAGTACTCGTGGATTTCGATTTAATAATGATTACGGTAAACCACTGAGGCTTAGAAATCGAATATAGGAAATTAAAATAATTTATTTGTGACAGAAAATAATGTTGCCTTTAATCTGACGTCGGATGAAAATGTTAGTAAGCATGTGTGAGATTGTAATATTTTGCGTTATGCATCAAACAAAAGGCCGTTAACCACGGTAGTGCACCAGCGCATGCGTACATATGTGCAATCTTGGCAAAGTTTATATCTACTAAACGACTTCTGTCATCAAGAAACTAGCGTTCAAATTGTATGATTGATACAGTAGGAAGCTGACCCAAATATCAGCAAGGAGCCCAACCCTCAATTAAATGTCTTTAAATCAACGTTATCTTAGTGACTCAGTGTCGGTGAATTTTACCTAGGCAAGATAAAGAGTTTAATCAAAGTCAGTTTATATCAGCAACGTTTTTTGTGCAGGTGTAAATCTGTGTCAGCCATTATATTTAATATTGGCGTCATTGTGAAATGTTTGTCCAAATACCAGGACTGTCAATCAGAGAAGTTTTATTAGGAAATGATTTATTCCACGTTACAAAGAAAACATTGCTGTGACTTTCGTTAAATATAATGATGATGTTCATAGTAAGATAAGACCCGACATATACCAATTTAATATTCTAAAGATATCACAAAATATACAAATACCAAATCAACTAGGACAACATCAGTGCAGAAAACGGAAACAAGTTTTGTTTCTGTTTCAAATATATCAATGCTCCAGTAATTTAACTCAAATAATGAATTATCTTAAACTCTAGTCTGTTTATCACTTTTCTGGTGAGAAAATGGTATAGCTATCATATTAACCCTGTGAAGATAACTAAGTGCTTGGTGACGCTCCCCTGTATAAAGATCCTCTAACCCGTTACATTAAACTATGTTATCACGTGATAACCTAGAACTGGTAACTGTGTCTTTTGATGGATTTGTGGCTTATTTTTCTGAGGCATCTTATCTCATGACTGGCCTGGTTAAGTCTAAGTGTCACACAAATCAATATCTATACAAGCAGTACAAATAAGAACATTGACCTACCAACTCACATCCTATTTAACATGAATAAGTTTGCAGAAAAATGCCTTTGCCTTCATATTGTGATTTGATTTTATGATTGTTTTTGACGTCTTCATCACGTTAACCCCTTAACCATGCGACATCATAATAAAACGTCAGTCGCCTGAACAGTCCCATGTTTGGCAAAAAATAACTTGCAACAGACGCTTTGGATAAGTTTGTTCATATGTTTTATACCAACCTCAATACTTTCACTCTCTGCACCCCATCCTCGATATCCAGGGGTTACGCTCACTTTCGCTCTCTACACCCCTGGAATATGTCATAGCAAAAATGAAGGCACAGTGTGCAACACCTTGTGGATGAGACGAGAAGACTAGTTTGGTCGTTTGATGTACATCAAAAAAATATCGCGGTCGCGTAACGGTAAAAAATGACAGGCTTTGAAGTCGGGCGTTGCTCCTTTGTAATCTTCAAAGGACAAGTATCAGACTAGTGATTATTCAGGAATTTTTACCTGACACCAATCATATTCCAGGGGTGTAGAGAGCGAAAGTGAGCGAACCCTCTGGATATCGAGGATGCCTGCACCCCTGAAATGTGTCTTAGCAAAATTAAAGGCACGCGACTAGCTATTTGATTGTTCTTAGGTTTATATATCTGACCAATAGCTAAAGCTGTTACCTGTCCTTTGAAGATGACAGAGGAGCGACAACCGACTCCAAAGCCACTTCATTTTATTGTTATGCGGCCGACAGATTCTTTTGATGTACATCAAAGGATGAAACTAGTCTTCTCGTTTCATCCACAAGGTCGTGCAAACTGAGCCTTCGAACTCCAGGTGTGCAGAGAGCAAAGTTGATCGTTACCCATGGAGTATCGAGGATGATTTTATACCAATCATACGGAAACTTTCCTAAAAATTATATAGTACCATATTGTATATACAAAGTGTATTTATTATTCACACGATTGGTGGGGCATTGCGGAAGTTTTCTTTTTGTAAAGAATGTATTGACATATGAATGTTAAGACAAGTTAATTTAAAAAGTAAAATAACATAATTTTTAACAAATGCAACGACTGACATTAAGGTGTATGCGAAATGAGTGGTGTATATACTATATATACATAATATATAAGTCATTGACTGGACGACAATGCATGGCTTACATACATTATATATCAACATAATAACTTAACATTTAAAATAAACATCGTTCACAACATTAAGTTAACATATACAGCATATGTATCCATGTTGTCCCCATTGTCCAACAAAAAGAATAGTTTTATGACGGACGTATAAAGGAATGATTATTTAATTGAATTGTATTTCGATCCGTGTAATCAAAAATAACGAAACTGTGGAATTTGAAAATATATTCCTAGTTTATGCATCACGCTTTCGCTAATTGTTAAACATTTTAATAAACCATGAATAAAATTACATTACCAATCCTTGCTAATTGTTAAACATGCTTGAAAGCCATGGCATTCATACCCACATGACAGCTACTAAAATTAGTTCCTTCTCATACGTTGATTGTGGTTATATAATAGGAAGAAATATATAACTAGGCTGTTATTACTCCTATGACGTGAGCACTTACTAACAAAACGTATCTCCAATAGTTTCTGAAGTCGACCTCAGAGTGTTGTCTTACATTACTTAAGAAGTATAGGAATGGCAATGACAAATATCAATAACAAGAAGGCAATAATTCATGATTTTCAGTATAAATAATATATTATATACCGCTTTATCACAACCTAGTTCGTAGGTCGTCTCAAAGCGGTTCACAAATTATTATCCGTGGTTATAGGGCCAATATATTTCTCAACTCTCTGGGGAGCATACAGCCGATGCTTCCATATCGGGGCTCACAGCTAGCATTCAACAATTCTAGCACTGCCCAACCATGTACTCATTTACAACTGAGTAGACTGGAACAAGCGGAGTGAAATATCCTGTTCAAAGATACAACACAGTGCCGTGACGTGACTCGAACCCACAACTCTTCGGTCACAAGCCCGGCGTCCTACCACTAGACTACCGTGCCTCCTAATTTAAGTCATATAACGACATATATTGTAATATGGTATATTTATATACAGATAATGTAAGGCAAATATAGACCTATTCAAAGCAGGCATTTCGTCGTAATTCTATCAGAATAGGCAACCATTCAATAAAGTTTTTCAGAGCTGTATTCCCAGAGTTAATATATACTAGTAAACAACAGTGATTAAAAAGAAACAGGGCACGACAATAACATCAAAAAAAATCTCCATACAGAATACTGCAATTACCGGTGCTCTAACCACCCTTTATCTATTCAGTTATGTGCACATTACGATGATCTGTTTGCCTAATGTATAAAAGTGATTATAAGTCTTTGTTTTTTGTTTAACAATTATAACTAATACTATTATCCATGTGTTGTAAAGCGCTTTAGAGTAATTTTACAATTTATATAGAGCGCTATATAAATGTTGTATATTACTGTTATTATTATTATTAACTTCCTACATATTGCCAGGGCGGTCAGATCTAGCTGATAAGAGTGGAAATGGCATAGATAAGAACTAGTATTATTTACCTCAGCTTTGATCTCTTACAATCTGAACACATAATCGTATCAGGAAACACAATGGCGTTTATCATTACATTGACATTACTTCTAACTTTGACGACTTTCTGTGAGTATGACTTTCGTGTCTACTTAAAATACAGTAGTGGTAACAAATAGCATTTACAAACTCGAATGATAACAAGGCAACACTGTTAACATACTCTGTGTTTGTAATAGCTGCATATACACTAACGACTATCATATCTCATTTATCACTGTAACCTTACTCTGTGTTTGTAACACTAACGACTATTATATCTCATTTATCACTGTTACCTTACTCTGTGTTTGTAACACTAACGACTATCATATCTCATTTATCACTGTAACCTTACTCTGTGTTTGTAATAGCTGCATATACACTAACGACTATCATATCTCATTTATCACTGTTACCTTACTCTGTGTTTGTAATAGCTACATATACACTAACGACTATTATATCTCATTTATCATTGTTACCTTACTCTGTGTTTGTAATAGCTGCATATACACTAACGACTATCATATCTCATTTATCATTGTTACCTTACTCTGTGTTTGTAATAGCTACATATACACTAACGACTATTATATCTCATTTATCACTGTTACCTTACTCTGTGTTTGTAACACTAACGACTTTCATATCTCATTTATCACTATTTGCAACATCTGAACACTAATGAAATCACTAGAAATAAGAAAAATCGTTTCCACTTCTGGAGCACCTTGCTTTCTCCCTACTTCCTGCAGAGGACGCGTCCTGTCCATCTCACCTACACTCTTTTGTATACATGTGTAGCAGAATGTCCGGATGGTTTCGTGTTGCGTCCTGTCCATCTCACCTACAATGTTTTGTATACAGGTATAGCAGTATGTCCGGATGGTTTTTATGTTGCGTCCTGTCCATCTCACCTACAATGTTTTGTATAAAGGTGAAGCAGAATGTCCGGATGGTTTCGTGTTACGTCCTGTCCATCTCACCTACAATGTTGTGTTTACGGGTAAAGCAGAATGTCCAGATGGTTTCGTGTTACGTCCTGTCCATCTCAATTACAATCTTTTGTATGCAGGTGTAGCAGAATGTCCGGATGGTTTCGTGTTGCATCCTGTCCATCTCACCTACAATGTTGTGTTTACGGGTAAAGCAGAATGTCCAGATGGTTTCGTGTTACGTCCTGTCCATCTCAATTACAATCTTTTGTATGCAGGTGTAGCAGAATGTCCGGATGGTTTCGTGTTGCATCCTGTCCATCTCACCTACAATCTTTTGTATACGGGTGTAGCAGAATGTCCGGATGGTTTCGTGTTACGTCCTGTCCATCTCACCTACAATGTTTTTCATACAGGTGTAGCAGAATGTCCGGATGGTTTCGTGTTGCATCCTGTCCATCTCACCTACAATCTTTTGTATACAGGTGTAGCAGAATGTCCGGATGGTTTCGTGTTACGTCCTGTCCATCTTACCTACATTGTTTTTCATACAGGTGAAGCAGAATGTCCGGATGGTTTCGTGTTACGTCCTGTCCCTCTCAATTACAATCTTTTGTATACAGGTGTAGCAGAATGTCCGGATGGTTTCGTGTTGCGTCCTGTCCATCTCACCTACAATGTTTTGTATACAGGTTTAGCAGAATGTCCGGATGGTTTCGTATTACGTCCTGTCCATCTCACCTGCAATGTTTTGTATACAGGTGAAGCAGAATGCCTGGATGGTTTCGTATTTCGTCCTGTCCATCTCACCTACAATGTTTTGTATACAGGTGTACCAGAATGTCCGGATGGTTTCGTGTTACGTCCTGTCCATCTTACCTACAATGTTTTGTATACAGGTGTAGCAGAATGTCCGGATGGTTTCGTGTTACGTTTAGTCCATCTCACCGACAATGTTTTGTATACAGGTGTACCAGAATGTCCGGATGGTTTCGTGTTGCATCCTGTCCATCTCACCTACAATGTTTTGTATACAGGTTAAGCAGAATGTCCGGAGGGGTTCGTATTACGTCCTGTCCATCTCCCCTACAATGTTTTGTATACAGGTTAAGCAGAATGTCCGGATGGTCTCGTATTACGTCCTGTCCATCTCCCCTACAATGTTTTGTATACAGGTTAAGCAGAATGTCCTGATGGTTTCGTATTACGTCCTGTCCATCTCCCCTACAATGTTTTGTATACAGGTTAAGCAGAATGTCCGGCTGGTTTCGTGTTACGTTTAGTCCATCTTACCTACAATGTTTTGTATACAGGTTAAGCAGAATGTCCGGCTGGTTTCGTGTTACGTTTAGTCCATCTTACCTACAATGTTTTGTACACAGGTGTAGCAGAATGTCCGGATGGGTTCGTGTTACGTTTTGTCCATCTCACCTACAATGTTTTGTATACAGGTTAAGCAGAATGTCCGGATGGTTTCGTATTACGTCCTGTCCATCTCACCTACAATGTTTTGTATACAGGTGAAGCAGAATGTCCGGATGGTTTCGTGTTACGTTTTGTCCATCTCACCTACAATGTTTTGTATACAGGTGAAGCAGAATGTCCGGATGGTTTCGTGTTACGTTTTGTCCATCTCACCTACAATGTTTTGTATACAGGTGAAGCAGAATGTCCGGATGGTTTCGTGTTACGTTTTGTCCATCTCACCTACAATGTTTTGTATACAGGTGAAGCAGAATGTCCGGATGGTTTCGTGTTACGTTTTGTCCATCTCACCTACAATGTTTTGTATACAGGTGAAGCAGAATGTCCGGATGGTTTCGTGTTACGTTTTGTCCATCTCACCTACAATGTTTTGTATACAGGTGAAGCAGAATGTCCGGATGGTTTCGTGTTACGTTTTGTCCATCTCACCTACAATGTTTTGTATACAGGTGAAGCAGAATGTCCGGATGGTTTCGTGTTACGTTTTGTCCATCTCACCTACAATGTTTTGTATACAGGTGAAGCAGAATGTCCGGATGGTTTCGTGTTACGTTTTGTCCATCTCACCTACAATGTTTTGTATACAGGTGAAGCAGAATGTCCGGATGGTTTCGTGTTATGTTTTGTCCATCTCACCTACAATGTTTTGTATACAGGTGAAGCAGAATGTCCGGATGGTTTCGTGTCGCGTCCTGTCCATCTCACCTACAATGTTTTGTATGCAGGTGAAGCAGAATGTCCGGATGGTTTCATATTGCGTCCTATCCATTTCACCTACAATATTTTGTATACAGGTTAAGCAGAATGTCCGGATGGTTTCGTGTTACGTCCTGTCCATCTCACCTATAATGTTTTGTATACAGGTGAAGCAGAATGTCCGGATGGTTTCGTGTTGCGTCCTGTCCATCTCACCTGCAATGTTTTGTATACATGTGTAGCAGAATGTCCGGATGGTTTCGTGTCGCGTCCTGTCCATCTCACCTACAATGTTTTGTATACAGGTTTAGCAGAATGTCCGGATGGTTTCGTGAAGCATGGCGGATCCTGCTACCATGTTGTGCGGATTAAGGCGACTTGGCCTGAGAGTGATGTAAGTATGCTGAATGTTTACAGCGAATCATGAAGGTAATATACAGATATAATCACTGAGATGAAAGTACTCAACATGAGTAAAGTACAGGTGAACTGAAATGGTCTTTTCTACCTGGCATAATATAAACATTTTGAATAGCAACCTGTTTCGCTGATGTGTTTGTAGGTTTACTGCCATGCGGTAGGTTCAGACCTTGCAACTATTGAAACGCGGGAGGAACAACATTATCTAGCAGGCCTCCTAGCAGCAAACGCAGGTAGGGGGCAAAAAATAGAAGTGATTAAGACCTCGAGATTTACCTAGCAACACCCAAAAACTGGTAGTGTGAGAGTGTTGTAGTGTAGTCATAAAGGGTTACCTAGCTTTACAAACCAAAACTGGTGGTGTGAGAGTGTAGTCATCTAGCTACAGACCTACTCCAACAATGTTAGAGGTTTTACACGGCGAAAAACTTTTGACAGGCGCCGCGTAACCTCTAACTGCCCATAGCTGATTTTCCCGATGCTGACTATCACATTTTCAAAGTTCGGATTAAGATAGAGTATATCGTGTTTACATACATTTAAATGGTCAAAAGGGTCCAATAAACATTCCTTTCCATAAATCCATGATTATATGAGAAAAAGTTCATGTCAAAGACATAAATAATGAGTTTTTCAAACAAACAAACTCCGTTTCATTTCGTTCCGTTTGAAATTCCCCCTGATATTTTGTATTAATCCAGAAGCCATGTTTTAAATGTAGGTCAGAGATGTGCTACAACGACATGGACATGTATTTTGAGTGTTCTATTCCCTAATATACTATATATTTGTGTCTGTGACATATATATGAGATCAATATTATATAAACCGTGAGTAGACATCGTTGTCATGAACCGTTAACCACTTATGTGAGTTTTTCAAGCCGATTTTGTTCCGCCCGTATTTCGGGCGGAAACTGCATCAAAGAATTAGTGCTTCGGAAATGAGAGATCACAGTCGGTAAAATCATATCCGGTTGAAAAAAGGCCGACCAGCGGCCTCTCATGTTATAGGAGTAGCTACAGACCAAAGCTGGTAGTGTGAGAGTGTGGTAGTGTAATCATGGAGAGTCATCCAGCTACAGACCAATGTGAGAGAGTGGTAGTGTAATCATGGAGAGTCCCCAGCTACAGACCAAAACTGGTGGTTGTAAGTGTGGTAGTGTAATCATGGAGAGTCCCCAGGTACAGACTAAAGCTGTTAGTGTAAGAGTGTGGTAGTGTTATCATGGAGAGTCCCCAGGTACAGACCAAAGCTGGCAATGTGAGGGTGTGGTAGTGTAATCATGGAGAGTCACACAGCTACTGACCAAAGCTTGAAGTGGTAAATGTGGTAGTGTAATCATGGAGAGTCACCCAGCTACAGACCAAAGCTGGTAGTGTGAGAGTGTGGGAGTGTAATCATGGAGAGTCCCCAGGTACAGACTAAATCTGTTAGTGTAAGAGTGTGGTAGTGTTATCATGGAGAGGCCCCAGGTCCAGCCCAAAGCTGGCAATGTGAGAGTGTGGTAGTGTAATCATGGAGAGTCACCCAGCTACCGACCAAAGCTGGTGGTGTGAGAGTGTGGTAGTGTAATCATGGAGAATCAGCCAGCTACAGACCAAAGCTGGTAGTGTGACAGACCAAAGCTTGTAGTGTGAGAGTGTGGTAGTGTAAGCATGGAGATTCACCCAGCTACAGACCAAAGCTGGTAGTGTGATGGTGTGGTAGTGTAATCATGGAGAGTCCCCAGGTACAGACCGAAGCTGGTAGTGTGAGAAAGTGGTAGTGTAATCATAGAGATTCACCCAGCTACAGACCAAAGCTAGTAGTGTGAGGGTGTGGAAGTGTTATAATGGAGAGTCCCCAGGTACAGACCAAAGCTTGTAGTGTAAGAGTGTGGTATTGCAATCATGGAGAGTCCCCAGCTACAGACCAAAACTGTTGGTGGTAAGTGTGGTAGTGTAATCATGGAGAGTCCCCAGGTACAGACCAAAGCTGTTAGTGTGAGAGTGTGGTAGTGTAATCATGGAGAGTCCCCAGGTGCAGACCAAAACTGGTAGTGTGAGAGTGTGGTAGTGTAATCATGGAGAGTCACCAAGGTACAGACCAAAACTGGTAGTGTGAGAGTGTGGTAGTGTAATCATGGGGAGTCACCCAGCTACAAACCAAAACTGGTAGCGTGAGAGAGTGGTAGTGTCATCATGGAGAGTCACCCAGCTACATCCCAAAACTGGTAGTGTGAGAGTGTGGTAGTGTAATCATGGAGAGTCACCCAGCTACAGACAAAAGCTGGTGGTGTGAGAGTGTGAAAGTGTAATCATGGAGAGTTACCCAGCTACAGACCAAAGCTGGTAGTGTGAGGGTGTGGTAGTGTAATTTTGGAGAGTCACCCAGCTACCGACCAAAGCTGGTAGTGTGAGAGTGTGGTAGTGTAATTTTGGAGAGTCACCCAGCTACTGACCAAAGCTGGTAGTGTGAGAGTGTGGTAGTGTAATCATGGAGAGTCACCCAGCTACAGACCAAAGCTGGTGGTGTGAGAGAGTGGTAGTGTAATCATGGAGAGTTACCCAGCTACAGACCAATGTGAGAGTGTGGTAGTGTAATCATGGAGAGTCACCCAGCTACCGACCAAAGCTGGTAGTGTGAGAGTGTGGTAGTGTAATTTTGGAGAGTCCCCCAGCTACTGACCAAAGCTGGTAGTGTGAGAGTGTGGGAGTGTAATCATGGAGAGTCACCCAGCTACAGACAAAAGCTGGTGGTGTGAGAGTGTGAAAGGGTAATCATGGAGAGTTACCCAGCTACAGACCAAAGCTAGTAGTGTGAGGGTGTGGTGGTGTAATCATGGAGAGTCACCCAGCTACAGACAAAAGCTGGTGGGGTGAGAGTGTGAAAGTGTAATCATGGAGAGTCACCCAGCTACAGACAAAAGCTGGTGGTGTGAGAGGGTGAAAGTGTAATCATGGAGAGTTACCCAGCTACAGACCAAAGCTAGTAGTGTGAGGGTGTGGTGGTGTAATCATGGAGAGTCACCCAGCTACAGACAAAAGCTGGTAGCGTGAGAGTGTGGTAGTGTAATCATGGAGAGTCCCCAGGAGCAGACCAAAACTGGTAGTGTGAGAGTGTGGTAGTGTAATCATGGGGAGTCATCTAGCTACAAACCAAAGCTGGTAGTGTGAGAGAGTGGTAGTGTAATCATGGAGAGTCACCCAGCTACAGACAAAAGCTGGTAGTGTGAGAGTGTGGTAGTGTAATCATGGAGAGTTCCCCAGCTACAGACCAAAGCTAGTAGTGTGAGGGGGTGGTGGTGTAATCATGGAGAGTCACCCAGCTACAGACCAAAGCTGGTAGTGTGAGAGTGTGGTAGTGTAAGTATGGAGAGTCACCCAGCTACAGACCAAAGCTGGTGGTGTGAGAGAGTAGTAGTGTCATCATGGAGAGTCACCCAGATACAGACAAAACTTGGTAGTGTGAGAGTGTGGTAGTGTAATCATGGAGAGTTACCCAGCTACAGACCAAAGCTAGTAGTGTGAGGGTGTGGTGGTGTAATCATGGAGAGTCACCCAGCTACAGACCAAAGCTGGTAGTGTGAGAGTGTGGTAGTGTAAGTATGGAGAGTCACCTAGCTACAGACCAAAGCTGTTAATGTGAGGGTGTGGTAGTGTAATGATGGAGAGTCACCCAGCTACAGACCAAAGCTGGTAGTTAGAGTGGTAGTGTAATAATGGAGAGTCACCCAGCTACAGACCAAAGCTGTTAATGTGAGGGTGTGGTAGTGTAATCATGGAGAGTCCCCAGCTTCAGACCAAAGCTGGTAGTGTGAGAGCGTGGTAGTGTAAGTATTGCGTGGTATCTAGTTAGTAGTCATATTACGATGATACTAGTATTTGTATCGTAAAAAGGCACATGACATAAGATAATGAATTAACTTTACAACATGACAAGGGGCTTGTCATTCCAAATAACACTATTGAGGACCTGACGATATACTTCTAACAGTGATGACTGCCATTTTGAAAATTTAAAATATATCGTGGATTCAGTTTCTCAGCGTATTCCTTCTTGATATTGAGACACTGAGTTCAGTATTATTTCGTAATAGTTTTGAAAGAGTTCGGTCAAATGCTTTTCTTTGTTCATTGGTGTCGTCACAGCTCATTAGTATTTTTAATTGGGAAAGATTCTAGTGATTGAAGTAAAGATCCGGACTCAAATAGTGTAAATTATAGCATGATTCAAATTCATATCAATATTGGCACACTATTTCGTAGTTGGTACCATTGTTAGTTAGTGTGTATTCTACGACAGTCATGTTTTTTTCAGGAGCATATAACCCACCGCAGTTTTGGATTGGCGGAAACGATATTGCTGAGGAGGGTAACTGGATATGGCTCAAATCTAAGACGCCTATAGGTGACCAGGACTACTCCAACTGGATAAACGGAGATGTACTGCCTGTGACCGCAGACGAAAATTGTTTGATGATAACCAAGGGTGGTCGCTGGCAGTGGGAAGACAACAATTGTGATGACCATTACTTCTTCGTCTGCGAAAAAGAGTGAGTTAAAAAATTATAACATGTCATTTTGTAGATAAAGGAATGACTGAAAATAGAAAGAAATGGTGCAATGGTTTCCAGGTAAGTATTAAAGGAATTTGTAAAAAAGAACGATCTAGATGTAGCCATAATTATGTCGAGCTGAAGACTAACAATTATTTCACTGGTCTGTTCTCTTTATATAGGAAGTCAATCTTTACATTATGTTCATGTTTGGTTGTAGTTTTTTCCCAAATGAGTGTTTGTCATAATTCGGATTTCGTTTGTGTGATAAGACAATGGAACAAAGTGTATAGCTATAATTATTAATTATTGTAATCGTTTAAAATACTTGTATATATAGTAGATTTTTAAAACTTTCGTATGTAAGTGCCCAGATTGGAATATTTAACGTAAATATCCACAATAGATAAGCAAACAGGTGTTTAAATCGTGTCTATTTCCTTTTCCCGCAGTTTGTATAAACATACAAATCAAAATACAAAAAGCATCTAAATGACTCCAGATCGCCTTAGTTATGTTAAGATGTGAACATTTAAAATTTTGAAAAAGAAAATTGCAAGTTATGATATTTAATAAGATAACACTACTAGTTATTTTAGTATCATTATAGATTGTTATTAAGAATGTGTTGAGGGAGCGTGGCTGACTAGAGGGAACATTTGGAGGAAGTTAAAATGGCCTGAACAATGCACCGAGTAAAGAGTATTATTTTTCAAAGTGGTTTTGTTTCATTTTTATCGATTTTGAGTTTGAACTCAGAGTTTAGTTTACAGCATGGTATTCTCTTGTTTTTAGCTAGGTTAAATAATTCATGAATTTCCGAAAAATACCATGATTCTAAAGATTTTTGGGGGAATATATAATGTTAATAAATGTGATATATATTCAGACATGACAGCTATTCTTAATTAATGGACCTATTTAAGTGGAATTTTGTGCAATACAAAAATTAGAAGCACGCAACAGAACCATTACCATATAAATATGCAGCGATTAGTATTGAAATACAACCATGTCATATTAATTCTTCAATAAAGTATAATCACTGATTGAAATACAGATACCGTGATAAAAATGTTCTATAAAGTGTCCATGTATACATGATGTTGTTTATATGTATATACTGGTATCCTGTTAAACATCTATATTCAGTTTAAAGATACACCATCACAAGGGTCACTCTGTCTCTCGTTGCAGTGCCTACAGTGATGGAGGAATCGTGATTGGATGAACATTCCTCGCTGAGTATGACACCAATAATCTACACTGTAAACCGCCAATAAAATTACTTACTCAGCTTCTGTATTGTCGTTTTAATTTCCAAGTATAACATCCTAATCAACGAAATAACCGTGAAGAAAATTACGTTTTATCTCCTACATACAAGTTTCTTATGTCCTTATGCCAGCCTCCGTATGAACTGATCACCTCCATGAAGTTGATTCCTAGTTCCTAGTTCCTTATTCCATTACTTATTCAATTCCCTGATTACTTATTCGATTACCTGATTACTTATTCGATTCCTACTTACTAATTAACAAAAGAAATGGTTCAAAATATATTATTAAGCACTTCGATGATCTATTTAACCTTTCACTTACATAATAAGTGCTCATTACTTATTTGATTCACTGATTACTTATTCAATTTCCTGGTTACTTATTCAATTCCCTCATTACCTATTCGATTCCTTCTTACTTATCAACACAAAAGATGGTTCAAACTGCATTATTACGTACTTTGTTGATCTATTTAACCTTTCACTTCCATACTAAGTGCTCATTACTTATTCGATTCCCTGATTACTTATTCGATTCCCTGATTACTCATTCGATGTTCAGATTATTTATTCTATTCCTACCTACTGATATGATTTCATTTTTTAAAGGGATACAGTCATATGTAAAGATATGTAAAGTTACCATTTACTTGAAAATAAGCGCAAATACAAGAACATCAGACCATTTCAGATTACTTTGGCGTGGGATGAGAGTACCTCCGCTATTCACCTGCTGTTTTCTTGAAAGAGGTTGCTTAGTATACCGTGCATACTTTTCATATTTGGTAATAGTTTACATAGATAGCCTATTACTCGCATGAGACATCTGATGTAAAAAAAAA